GGTAATGCGAATCATCCGTCTTGTACCGTTCCGACACGCTCCGCCATAACGCAACACAGGGCACAAGCGTGCCGTGTGCATCGGATCCCACGCTAAAAAGGGCAACAGGCTTAAACGTCAAACCCAACACGTTCTGCGAAATGATGAGAGAACCCATCGCAACGGGACAATTCGTGCAGGCTGGAGGGTGCGCCCCTACTCACAAACAGCATCAAGGCACGGCTCCCAGCATGCCTTGCGTGTATGTCACGTGACCACCAAGTTGCATGTAACAACTCTTATGCATTGGTGGTTTAGACAAAAATGTGAGCATTGTACTTATGTATCTATGTTCAACTTATTTCGCACTGTATGAAGCCAACCGTGCGAATGTGGTGATAACATGACATGCACCAAAAGCATGATGGGAGTCGTGCCTTCCTGCTGTTTATGAACACACCTTTGAGTGTTGTTATTTGCAAAAGACCTAAGCGTGGTGTTACATTGACACCAAACTCCTTAATGTCCCATCAGGCGCACTGCTGGACTCGAAGCCAGACAATCATCATTATCAGCAGTGTTCTGTCCACTGCTGGATGAAGGCCTCCCCAAGTTGTCATCATCCCTCACTCGCGGTCCTGCGGTTGCCACGGTCCATCCCACTCCCTAGCACGAGGGGGGGGGGGGGATTGCCGTGGCCATCGGTGAATCTCGGAAAATCGGCAAAAAAATACAAAGTGGGTAAATAATTCCACATTCGGTTAAGTATGCCCGTGTGTAATTGTAGAAAATAAAAATGGCGCCATCTAAACAGCACTCGCTTTCAAACCAATCCGCAAGCAGACTTACCCTTGGACTAAGCACTGTTGTTAATATAGCAATTACAGCGGTACAACTTTACATGCAGCAATTTGTGCATGACGATTCAGAGCAGAATTAGATTGTGTAATTATTAGTATTGAGGTGGGCCTCACCAAACCAGATTCCAACTATTTTGGCGGGTTCCTCTCCAATTGACCGTTTCGACACCGCCCTGGTGCCAATTCACATTCTTAGCAAACTATTAATTTCGAGGGCAGCGAGTGTCACCCGTTACTTACGAAGCAGCAGAGGCCCTAATAGGAGTGCGGAGACAGGTCCCGCACACAGACACTGGGCCACCAAGCGCAATCAACAACAACCGCCGCCGTTCGCTGACAGGTGACTATCGCAACAGCGACTGCGCCAGGCTAGGTGCGGCTTTGAGGCCATGTGAAGTGTCGCAGGCTCGCTGGCAGGTGATCACGGAACAGACCCAGGTGAAATGGGATAACAGGCGGAGATGACCGGATGATCCAGTAACAGTGCTCCCCCAACTGTGCCAACTCGCTGTGTATTATTAGCCAGCCGGCACTCTGCCCGTTGTTGTGAGCATCACTCCTCCACCCTCCGTTGTTGTTGTTGTTGTCGGAGGGGACTACCCCTCCTCCTCTATTGGAGCCTACAGAGCGAAGTAGCGGTGCACGATGCGTACGAAGTAAAACCACAGATGGTGAGCACCCTTCATGTTTGTATTCGAGATATTTACAAAACTCGCACAGATTCACTTATTCGCCTTCATAATGGAGGTTTTTTTTTTAGTTATATCGCGTAACTTTGTGTCGTTAAACCCGCCATCATCCAACAGCGAATTAGTAAGGTTTGTCACGTAAACAATACGTGCCAATTAGTTACGAGTTCAGCACACCGCTTGTATGTTGGAGAGTAAATCCACAACATTTACAATTCGAGTACGACGTTTCGCCGGTAATTACAAACCAGCCTCATCAGGCGACAGCCAAAAATGTGACAAACCACTAATTAGCTGTGTCGGATGGTGGTGGGTTTAACGACGAATTCATATTTACGCAATCTAACCTTAAAAAAACCCTCTATTATGAATAATATTGGTCGCGAAACTCTTACCCTCTTACAACGAGGTGGCCAGCTAAAGTGCCAAGCTGGCACCGCTTAGATCCTGGGTTTGAATCCAGGCAGTCACCTGGGATGAAACTATTTAAACACGTTCCTTCGGAGTGGGCAGGTAGGAACTTGGTTCCACAGCGCATTCGTGCACGACAGAAAGCTCACAGTCACATGACGCACTTAAACCAATCCAGGAGCGTACATGTTTGGGAGGGGCTATACACGACAGACAAATAATCCCTGGTGGGCAGTGTGGAACCTGTTGTTCCTACCTGTACTTTTGCTATTTTTATTTCACCAGGTTAGGCCCACTGAGCTATACAGCTCTTTTTCAGAAGCGACCTGGCCATCAGAAATGATAGCCCAACGAAGTGGCTTATCACGTGGAACTTTACGGCAGCCAGATTCCTCGAAATAATGCCGAGAATATTGCGTCACCGATTTGAAGGAATTTTCTCAGAGGTAGTTCTGTGACATCCGCTTTCGTGGGCCCTTTCTCTACCGCACAGGGCCGCACTTGCTTCGAGGGCGACCCGAACACGACTCTTAACGCCGATAGACACGACGCCGACGGCACCATCGCGATGAATTGGAGGTGAAAGGAAATTAATGAGGAGACGCTGCCTATGAAGCCCCCCCCCCTTCTTCCTCAAGTGGGCAGCGGGAGGTGAAATTGTTTGCACGACAAGGAACCTCATACTGCCGAGTTGTACTGTACCCTTCTCCAGATGATGAAACGTGCTTTTTTCCCTGTATTTAAAAATGTTGGGGTGCGCGTCTGAGAATCTGGTGTGTGTGTGTGACCAGATTTTGTTTAATATATTGACACTGGGCAAAAGTTTGGGCTGCACCTTGATTTCCGGAACATGTTACACTGCAGAGAATACGGTAAATATTGTATCAGAAAGCGATTAACCAGGCTTACAGAGGACAGCACACTCTGTAATGCTGTGCTGATACCCGCCTGTGATAGGGAAGATGGTTTGGAAACAGCCAGCCATGCATTCTGACAATATCTAGTGGCTGTAACAGCACTCCGATAATGGTTCCTAAGAAAATATGCTGGACAAGCAAAGTACGGCACACTCTTGACACGCGGTCTGTGTCTCTTTCACACATTTTTAGAGGTGAAAATATATTTTTTTGTACCGTCAAAGCCTTTGCAAGCAGTTCACAGCTGAATATGACGCGCTTGCAAGTGTACTATTGTGCTCACGTTCATTGCCTCCATAAACAAAACTGCATGCAGTAAACATGTATCAGTGCTGTGCAGTGCTGAAGCCCATCGGAAGCCGCCACTCGGAGGGACAATGGCCAAACAGAGCGGCAGTCGAAGAATGGACCGCGATCGCGAGTACGTCCAGCGCGGAGACGGAGCAATAAAATCTGTGCGTACGCAGACTTTGGGTGGATTCATCTTCTTGGTTCTTTCGGTAAAGTCACGTAGAATGGAAATAATAAATAATAAAAATATAACAATTAAATAATTCATTCAGACTGTCTTATCGACAGACCTGTTCTTCACCTGAGGACGGCTGCTTGCGTTGTGGCCGAAACGTCGTGAGAATTATTTTATTGGTTTATTTTTATTATTTTATTATTTCCCTTCTACGTGACTTTACCGAAAGAACCAAGAAGATGAATCCCTCCGGTCACGAAAGCTTTAAATCGAAAGTTGGGTGGATTGTTAAGTCGCAGGATCGTGAGAGGTGGCGTCGCCTTGGGGTGTCGCTTCACCCATGGCTGTACGTTGAACTTCTTTCGCACCGTACGTAGCCAACCGTACTCATCGGAGGTGCGGGGGAAGGACAACAAACTGAACACAAAAAGCAGTTGTGCAGAAATGAATTTTCAGTCTAGCTTTTAAAGTGCATAGCTCCAGTGGCATCCTAAAATCGGAAGGAAGAGAGTTTCAAATGGCCGCAGAAGCGCATCTGAAAGCGCCATGCGATGCGGTGACCTCCATCTTTGTTCGATGGGCAGCAGCCAAAAGCCGCCGCTGCTGCTGCTGCTTGACGACAGCAGCAGCAGCAAAGGTACCGCGGTTTTTATTTGCGGCAAGTGCTTTGTGCTTTGTGCGTGTGCGAACGAGCGGCGAGGTCTGGCGAACGAAGAGTGGAGGAGAGCAGGCGGCCGTCCGCACGACGCAACAGACCCGGCGGGTTACGCGCTGCGCCACCATTGTGCGGAGAGAGTCACAACGCAAAGTCTCCTCTCTCTCAGGGGTCACGCGACAGCTCGGAAGGCCCCCACCCCCATCCTCCTCTACCCCCCCCCTCCTCTACCCCCCTCCTCTACCCCCCCTCCTCCTTTAACCCCCCCCTCCTCCTCTACCCCCCTCCTCCTCCTCTACCCCCCCCTCCTCTACCCCCCTCCTCTACCCCCCCTCCTCCTTTAACCCCCCCCCTCCTCCTCCAACCCCCCCCCTCCTCCTCCAACCCCCCCCCTCCCCCTCCTCCTCTAACCCCCCCTCCCCCTCCTCCTCCAACCGCCACCCCCTCCTCCTCCAACCCCCCCCCCTCCTCTAACCCCCCTTCCCCCCCGTGGATCTTCCCCGCATTAATTTCTTCTTCACGAGATGTTCCAATCTTTGTACTTAATTTTTATTCGATTGTTCAGCACCTTAGGGGGTGGAACAGCTAGTTGCAAAAGGTACGTTGCTGACATTATTACGATAACCTAATTACGGAGGAATTGTTTCTGGAACCGCCTCTGCTGGTAACACACAATTAAAAACGTTCCTTCGTCCAGCAGCCTACCGAATTTCCAGACCAACATTATCAAGCGGTGTTTATTTAAGCAAGCAAGCAAGCAAACTCTGGACTTGTTTGCAAGATGATGGGTCTCAGCAGCAGAGCCGTGTTTCTGAACCAAATGCTGCCAGATTACCAGACGTTATTGGCAAGAGTATTCCATTTAAAGACAAATAAAGCACTGACGTACGGGGTGGTGGGGTCCGCACCGGTAATGAACACGAGACGGATGATACAACGTACTGGAGAAACAATATATATACAAACAAATAACAATTAAAATCACGTGACACACACTAGCAGTTTCATCCAAACTCAACTCACCAGCCTCTTTTTCTCGTCCAATTTCTCTTGCAATTTCAAATTTGCGGAGACCTGCGATGAAGAGATGAGGAGCAGAGAGTTAGCCGTTGGCTAAAGAAATCGGTAAAGCAGCGCAGATTTTAGAGAATTCCGTTTCAGGATTTACACTCAACGAGGGCAGAATGTGTCCGAGAGGGTGGCCCACCAAGGAGATGGAACTATGAAAATAGCCTCGTGTGCAGAGGGCGATTGTTACATCGCAAGATCGTGAGAGATGGCAAGGGACTTGGGGAGGCTTTCATCCAGCAGGGGATCGGCCAGGGCCAATGATCATGCTAATGAAGAAGGCAATTTCTGCGAGTGGTTAAAATGTAAACAAACTCCAGAGGGCCTCTGTAGGGCTCTCTCTAGTGGAGGCCCTTCCGCCAGCAATGGCCATGAGCTGGCAATTGCAGGGCTGCAGCTCTACCCTGTTATGTAATATATATTTTTTTATCTTTACATACTCTTTGGTTCTTTCGGTAAAGTCACGTAGGTGAAAATAAAAATTAAAATATTATTTTATTTAAAAAATAAAAATATAATTTTATTTTATTTTTTCTTTCGGTAAAGTCACGTAGGTGAAAATAAAAATAATAAAAATAAAAATATTATTTTATTTAAACAATAAAAATATAATTTTATTTTATTATTTTTATTTTCACCTACGTGACTTTACCGAAAGAACCAAAGGAGTATGGATCCTTGCAGTCACGAAAACTTCGAATCTACTATCAACTGTCTTCCTCCATGTTAACACTGGGTGGCATTGAAGCAATAATGGAACAAGAACCTCACTCTTAAGATTCCTACCACCTTGACTGGGAAATCGGTAACCGGAGCCTTGTCCCCTCACCGGATGCCAAGCGTGCAAACCCCCAACGGCACAGCGGCCTCCGCAAACGTCACAACGGCGTCGTTCGCAAACGTCACGGTCTAAGTGCCATCGCTCCGTGGTGCGAACCCCCTAATTATAATAATTGCACCGCAACTAACGAGGCGGTCACACGGCTTTGTCGCTTTGGCACTTTGTTGCCGGATGCGCGCAGTCGCGACCGCTTTGGGTACCGGCGGCGTATTGATCCAGGATGGGGTTACGGGCTAACATTATTTGTCGGCTTCTCTCGATGGAAATAGAAGCAGGATAGGAGCAGGTTGCAGCGAAGGCAAAAGGTGAAACGGGTTCTTTGGAAGCCCCACACTGGAATTGAAGATTTGCCATCCATCCGATAATCATTTTATTTTATGCATATATTTTTTATATATGTTTTACAATGCTAGCTTCACTATGGTACAAATAAAGTAAATGGAATGAACCAGGAGTGGAATTTCCATCAGATGCCATCTCAAGAACATGGGTCTGATCCCAGCGGTGTGAACAAGGTTACCACTACTACTGATGTACAAAAAAATATTACGGGAAAAATAATCTCTAAATACCAGACAGCGGGGAGACCTACACGTAAAGTCACTGTCTTGAGTGGTGTATCAATAACATGTTTACAAAAACCAGGACTATAAAAAAACTGAAGAGCTACCTGGGAAAGAGGACACCCTGGGGAAACCAGGACAGGTGGCAACCCAATTTGTGGCTCTATATCACCGAACAAGATGAATTAGCGCAATTGCCGAATGCCTCCGCTGGGCCCACTAAGCCTGAAATTAATGCCGAGCGACAGCTTTTCCTCGACTGATGTCGGCAAACGAAGCGACACCCTCCAAGTTGAAGGCGGTAGAGGGGCCTCCACTAGAAGACGCTTGAGACAGCCCCCTCCAGAAGGTGTCTTGGCCTACTCTTCCAAGCCTGGCCAGCCCGTCAAAGGATGGGAGTACCCACACTTTACAACGCCACGTGCGACCGCCGGTCGACTAAACTCTGGTGAACCCATTGAGATTGCTGCGTCCAGAGAGACTGGGGGGGGGGGGGGGGGGCGGTGGGGGGTTGAGGGGGGGGGCACAGAGTTAAGAAACTTGCTCCATTGTTTCGAATGCCACACTGGGTGATCAAATACAAAACTGTCGAACTGTGGATTTCATGTCACAGTGTGCTGAACCGTTACACCGCAGCAGCAGCAGCATCCCCTGTGCCTACAAGACTCGCGGTACGACTGCCATGCGGCACTCTCAAATGGCGAAGGAAGGAAAGCGCGAATCTCGCACACCCGAGGGAGACTAACGCCACTCACCATCATGGCCTCCTGCACTGTGAGGTGTGGCAGGAGGACATCGTCCTGCATGATGTAGCAGGACATCTTCCTGAAGGTGCGCGGGTCGCGTGGATTCCCATTCACCAGGATCTGTCCCTTCATCCCCGTCTTCCTGCACCGCACACAGCAGCAGAAGCAGCACTTGGTTCTCTCTCGGCCACGACCAGGCAAGCGTGAGCACTTGTTTTCGCAGTCCATCACGAATGCGCCGCGCCTGATCGCACCGCGGTAAGCTCTTTGGAACACCACGGCTTTTAATCCCGATACAAAACTGGCTCAGACTCGAGGATGGATCCCGAACATCATCATCTCGCAAGTAACTGGTTCCAGGTCTTCGGGCCAGAGAACCCCAAAACTGCGCCGGCCGTAGCGCTCCACAAGCTATGCACAGGGGGAGGTACAGCAGCAGCTCATCGTGGGCTGCGGATCGCAGATGGCATCAATTGGGGTCCGTCGAGGCTTCTACACCACCACCACTACCGACAATAACAGCAACAATAATTATGTACTGTATAGCCATTAATCAATCTAATGCTGGATGAAGGCTTCACCCAAGCCATTTCGACGATAATAGGGCACGCATTGGCGAGATGTTAACTACCTCGCCTGGTATACAGGAGGTCGTGGGTTCAATTCTGACCCTGAAGCTTGCTGTACATTTGGAGTTCGCATGTTCTCCCCGTGGATGTGTGGATTTTACTCCGGGTCCTCCGGTTTTTCCCTCCACATTTAGAATCGACAAACGTTTAGAATATTTGGCCGCTATAAACTTCCACACGATAAGCCACTCCGTTGATTCATCATTTGCGGCCAGGTCGCTTCTGAAAAAGAGCTACATAGCTCAGTGGGCCTTCCCTCGTAAAATAAAAAATACAAAATGTTTCATTTTCGTTAGCACACGGTCAGTGCGGACCGGTGAATTGGGGGCGAGCCGAGAAACGGTTCAGACATCGCTCGCCACAGATGTTAATCGTGAATTCAGGTTGCTGGGTTCATAGCGCAGGGTGCCAACTAAACCCCAGGAGCACACATTGCTTCACCCCCACAGCGATCGTTCCAACGGAAAAGATAATGACCGTCTTCAAAGCAATGCACGCCGAGGCTGGGAGCCAATGTAGTTTTTCTCTATCGGACGAGTAGAGCGATAAAGCGGTGCGTGTGTGTTCCCAAGCAGCATTCTGTTAATGCATTAAGAAGATGATTATTGTCAACTTGCCAGGCCACAGCCTAGATCAACAAAGTATTGCAATATCCACGCCTTGAAGGTATTAGGAGATCAATCAATGAATTCAAGATAGTTTTGTCTCAATAGTAGATTGCTCAAGTGATTGCTACTCAAGGCGGGGCGCGGTAGAAAACAGCGGTTAGCGTACTGCGCTATAAACCCGATAACCTGAAATCAATTCCCCCATCACGGCCAACATCGGTTACGGGTGACATCTAAAAAACGGTAAACAGGCCCCGCCCTTCACCAAGCCGCAATGGCGAGCAGGGTGACAGCACGGTCATTTAAACCCCATAACTGACTGACACGGCACTGGGAGGCCCTCGCAACAATTGGGAGAAAAGATATCGATCATGGCCCCCTTCGGAGCGCGTACTGCACAGCACGCCTGTGAAAAACACAGGCGCTGTGTTAGAAACGAGCGCGCGTACTCAAGTGCGGGACTTCGTTTGATGCGAGGACGCCACTCACCGATATCCGGCCAGGATGTTCATGAGCGACGATTTTCCCGCGCCCGATGGTCCCATGATGCCCACGAGCTCTCGGCTGCAGAATTTACCCGAGAGACACTTGAGCACCGTCTTGTAGCCTGTGGGAGTCAAGACAGAGGTCAAACGTCGCTCACACTGTAGCCTGTGGGGGTCAAGACGGAGGTCAAGGGTCGCTCACACTGTAGCCTGTGGGGGTCAAGACAGAGGTCAAACGTCGCTCACACTGTAGCCTGTGGGGGTCAATACGGAGGTCAAGGGTCGCTCACACTGTAGCCTGTGGGGGTCAAGACAGAGGTCAAGGGTCGCTCACACTGTAGCCTGTGGGGGTCAAGACAGAGGTCAAACGTCGCTCACACTGTAGTCTGCGGGGGTCAAGATGGAGGTCAAGGGTCGCTCACACTGCAGCCTGTGGGGGTCAAGATGCAGGTCAAGCGTCGCTCACACTGTAGCCTGTGGGGGTCAAGATGGAGGTCAAGGGTCGCTCACACTGGAGCCTGTGGGGTTCAAGATGGAGGTCAAGGCTCGCTCACACTGTAGCCTGTGGGGGTCAAGACAGAGGTCAAATGTCGCTCACACTGTAGCCTGTGGGGGTCAAGATGCAGGTCAAGCGCTCTCACACTGTAGCCTGTGGGAGTCAAGATGGAGGTCAAGGGTCGCTCACACTGCAGCCTGTGGGGGTCAAGACAGAGGTCAAACGTCGCTCACACTGTAGCCTGTGGGGGTCAAGACGGAGGTCAAGCGTCGCTCACACTGCAGCCTGTGGGGGTCAAGACAGAGGTCAAACGTTGCTCACACTGTAGCCTGTGGGGGTCAAGACAGAGGTCATGCGTCGCTCACACTGCAGCCTGTGGGGGTCAAGACGGAGGCTGGGTGGGGAGGGGAGGGGAGGGTGAGGAGGGGCTGGGTGGGGAGGGGCTGGGTGGGGAGGGGGGGCTGGGTGGGGGGTGGGAGGGGTGGGGCTGGGTGGGGAGGCGCTGGTCACCCCGTGGTGCCCTTATAAAACTCAACGTTTAACCTACTCACGCCGGCTTGTGCCCGCCCTCACAGTCGGGCATATTTGCGGAATACACCACGCCGCCGTTGACCCTGGCCATTGACCGAGCAACCCAACGTTCCTCTATCAGCTCCCTCCGCATGAATGTGTTTAAGCATTTTGTTTCAAAGATTTTACATATAAGGACCTATAATACGAAACATATTTGATAAACCTATATCTAAATAGATTATTCTACGCATGCCATTTCAATGTAAGTGTGCCATAGCTGGTGTTCCCAAAGCAATACCAACTTTTTAAAAAAGGTTCTTAGTCAAGTCATTTTAAAACTCAATGGATTTTCTCAGAAAATGGACTGCAAAGCTTTGGGCAAAAATTCAGCAATGAGTTTGCTCGCATCGGCATTATCCTATTTCTAGGCAGAATTCAATTTAGGCTCCACCAAGCTGACAGTTCAATGCAACTTGAAATCCAATCCTCTTCCACATTCCTGTGCGGCCGCCATACAGCTGCGCAAGCATTTATTCTTTTTCCTCATCCATTTTTCGTTGTGCCATTTGACCCAAACGTCGTCCCGACTGTGCCGTCTGGCGTCACGTCGTCGCGTGACGGAGCATCCATTCGGATCTCTCGCAGAGCGGAGACACCCTTCGTGTCGGAGAACGGCCCACAGAAGTGGGAATCATAGAGCTACCTCTGAGATCCCTTCCAGCGATATACAGCCTGCAGGCAGTAGATGGCAGCACTTGCCACTTCCGATGCACACAACAGTCAAGAGCTATATTCTTTTTTCAAAATCGAGTGCAGAATACAATTTTGCGATGGCTTTTTTGTGCAGTCATTGGTGACCATCAACTCACTACGATCGGGGACCCGGTCGCAATCACAGGCGCCACGGTGGTGAGATGTTAACTACCTCGCCTGGTATGCAGGAGGTCGTGGGTTCAATCCCTATCCCGATGCCTGTATATTTGTAGTTTGCATGTTCTCTCCCCATGGTCGCGTGGATTCATCTCCTGGCCCTCTGGCATTTCCCTCCACATTTAGACGCATTCTTTTCGAGTATTTGGCTGATGAACATTTCCACGTGATAAAGCCACGTTGCTGAGCTATCATGTGGCCAGGTCGCTTCTGAAAAAGAGCCATATAGGTCAATGGGCCTTACCTGGTAAAATAAAAAAAATTGTTTCGTGTTAGTTATTTACAGGCGGCTGCCTGGATTCAAACCAATGCATGCATCAGTGCCAGCTCAGCACTTTGACTTTGGAGTCACCTGCCCACCTCCCCGTACAAGCGAACTTAGTCCATAACCCACAACGGTGCTCCGCTGCCCACAACAATGCAACCTGCTGCAGGAGTCCGTAGAGAAAGTAGGTTGCTAGCAGGCCATCTGTACGAGAGCTTGAATATCATCTCCATTTATGCACAAGTCTTTTTTTCTTTATGGTGCTCTGGTTACCTCCAATTCGTACTGAAAATATTCAAGGATTTGGCCAAACAATTACTAAAGTAGTACGCTCGTGAAGAAAGAACCGTCTTGAGAATTTTCTAGTTGAATCAAGAAAAAATGATGATACTGTGATAGACAAACAGTGATAATAAAATCTGACTCACACGTCGCTCAATAACACTTCCCGAAAGATGAACACATTTGTGCGTTTTGGGAAATGGTTCTTCTGGGACAACAGCCAGACAGACCACTTGACGAAAGTAATGACATATAAACCATTCGAGGAATCGGGAACACAGCTATGCTCCCACCAAGATAATTCACAACTATGAATACAATGTGATATTTTAATCAACTGATATGGACAATTCAATTGAATGTCGTTTGCAAGGCTGCTCACAAAAAAAACCGACACAAAAGCAGCGTTATTCTCTACTGTGCAGACAAAAGGGAGGCAGGCCCAAAGTCAAACGACAACAACAGTGCGCTCGCTCTACTGAATAAAAGATGAACGTCGCGTCGTTGTAAAAATAAACTATAATATACAGTATTGGCAAATATAGAAACGAAGGAGCAGCCTTAATGGCAAGCAGGGTCAGAAACGTATCGGATTTCACGGGAAGAAAAAAAAAGCCACCCAGATAATGTTCTTGTGGTCTAGCCCAGGGATGTATTTGGATAATGTATCGAGCTACCTGTGTCAGAGAAATGATAACCAGAGATGGTTTCTTTGCAGGTTGAGAGATTGGGGTCACCTATCACAGGCACGAGACCGGGGCACACAATATATGGGGAAAGGGCAAATGACGCACCGCTTTGGTGGATAACCAGTCAGAAGATAATTGCGATTATGATGCTCGTCAAAGTCACGACTATTTGAATTCGGGCAATAATAAAAGTCAGGCGTTACTACACGCTATGGTAATTCAATGATTACGACGGTGATTATGATGACATTTGGACAATGATGGCAGTCGCTAATTATACATGCATTATAATCATTCACAGCGATTTTGCAATCCACTGATATCACTTGTTCGTCTATCATCATGAGCCATGGTCAATCCACTACCGTATGAAGCTCCTCAAGCCGTCACCAACTCTTGCGGTGTAATAATCCACATGGCAACTGCAACAGCCACCGATTTCATCGTTCCATCTCCTCCGTGGCCATGGCCCCCGGGACAATTACCATTCCTTGACTGCCAGTCCGTTATTGGAGCCATCCATCGTATATGGCGACTCAATGTATGGAATTTCTGTTTCACATAACGTATAAATTAAGGCACAAATTCAATACGTGTCATGTTAAATTCGCATTTTACAGAATTTCGAATCTCTACATTCTAAATGTTGTGGGGGAAAAAAATTAACCCGTAAAAACAAAGTTTTTCACTATAAATCCTTCATATGCGTGGCGGCTAGAGTCCTCTCGTTCCTCTGGCTTGAGATGGCTGCCACCTATGGGTCAGATGATTGCCTGCCACTATTAAGCAATTGGTAATTAAATATAATACATTTTTTCCTTAAATGTGTAAAATTTTGGGGAAAAAATTTCACGAAAATAAATTGTCACGCACAACGAGTCTGTGTGCAAAATGTCAGCTCGATTGGATGACGGGAAGTGGGTTAAAAAACGACCGAAAGATTTGCACGGTCGTAAGCGCGCAAGCAAGCAAGCAAGCGAACTTAATATAAAGGATGTAAAAATGGTGCCGCCCTTGCCGCCTGGTACTGCAGCGTGCAGCGCAGTGCAGGAGATTCCCAGGGCTGGTACTTCACTCTACGTGTACTCCCTTTCAATCGCTGCCAGTGGCAACATCGGCGGTGTCGCTCATTCTTCCTCCTCCTCCTCCCGGAAACCGGCACGGAAATGCTGCCGAGGGTTTACTGGAGTGCATTGGCTCAAGGTAACCCGGCCTATCTTGCCGCGAGCAGCAGCCAGCACGTACACCGCATTTTGGGCAAGCGCTATTTTCGCAAAACGGAGATCCATAAGGCGATGCCGGAGGTGTTGTTCGGAAATCGAACGGCAATGCGGAGACGAAGCGCTTGCGGGTGTGCAAAACGAGTGCACGTCGGTGGTCAATTATTGTTGTTGTGTGAATGCCCCGATGGCGTAGGTGAACAGCACTGTGCAAGCAGGGCAATAGCAAATGTGAGACACGCAGTGTGAGCGTTGTGTGGGGAGAACCGCATTTCTCCTGATTATTATAAAACATTATCATTTTTTTTCAATTACTTGAAAGCAAAAATACTAGGTGTGCACCAATTGCCTCATGCGACAATCACCACAGTTTCTAACCAGCACTGTACAGTATTTTTTTTATTTACAGACTTATTTTGAGTATTATTCATATTTTATCATACAATTATCGATTTTCTAGTCAATGTGATTTCAAAAAAAGTTTGCTGCATTCTAGAGTGTGATTCAATTACGCCTCGGGGCCGGATTTTTACCGCGTAAGAACGCATCTCCAATTATAAAATGGGAGGCAATGGGAATTTCGCTTTTAGGGACCACTTCTCAGGAGCATATCTGCTCGTGAAGCCAAGCAGATACCCATAATTACACCGACGATCGAATGCAAAGTTCTTGAATAACATCGTGGACACGGCTAAATGGAAGGCCACGATTGCCGACGGCTTTGAGA